CCATTCGTCCTCTGCAACTGATTCAAAATGCAGCTGCACGATTGGTTTTCAACCTCCCTAAATTTTCGCACACCACCCCACTGCTGCGCTCCCTCCACTGGCTTCCTGTAGCTGCCCGCATCAGATTTAAAACACTGATGCTCGCCTACAAAGCCAAAAACGGACCAGCACCCACTTATCTCAAAGCTCTTATCACACCGCGCGTGGCACCACGCTCCCTCCGGTCCTCTAGCACTGCTCGACTGGTCCCACCATCTCTCAGGGCACAAGGAAGACATGCGTTGAGACTCTTCTCGGTTCTGGCACCAAGGTGGTGGAATGAACTTCCCTTAGATGTCCGAACAGCTGAGTCACTGGCAGTCTTCAAACGACGTCTAAAGACTTACCTCTTCATTAAGTACTTAAGTTAGCACTTGCACGCACACACACACACACACACACACACACACACAAAAAAAAAAAAAAAACCAACAGAGTCTTGGGCTGATGGTATTCCTAGTTTGTGACCTAGTAAGCCGGTATCAGGATGTATTTTTGATAGACTTCAAAGCACTATTGTAAGTCGCTCTGGATAAGGGCGTCTGCCAAATGCCGTAAATGTAAATGTAAATGTAAATCTTGCTTGGAGTGTCTTTCTGTGTCTCAGTGTACGAGCCACTTCCCACAGGTGCCACTTGGGTGCTGTCCGAATAGTTAGCAGTGTTAGGGAGTGATAGGAATACTGTTTGTTTAAAAAAAGGATCTGCCAGAATACTGTTGCCACTACAAGCTACTTAACTAACTTGGTGAATTATGACTCGTGATTGTAAGATTGTAAGCATGGGTTTTACCTTCACTTTGCGCTGTTTGATCCTGGCTTGTCACTGGCACATCTTCATCTTTTTTATTTGCATTATAATCACAAAATTTGTTCATTAAAATAGATTTGGGGCTGCAAATTGTATTCCTCTAATATACAAATATTTTCAGCAAAGGAAAACTGTGACATGCCCCCGCTGTCGGCCATTTTTTTTAAAGTTGTTTAAAGTTCTTCAGTGTCTTACTTTTCCCAAAAAGCAATGCAAATTAGACTGTCTTACTAAGGACAACCATGAGTTTATTTTATGCAGTAGTCTTTCCCCAGTGACTTTAGTTGGTCAGACTAATTCTTAAGATAATGGCTATGTTTATGCAACTGGCCCCTGATTTACCTCATGTTAAGACTTAAATTAAAAACCTAAAACATGGCTATTTAATTTAAGCATACTGCTGAAATTATTTCAACTATCTTGTCTCTTACTTTAAGTTAAACTTTGTTTTACTAATGGCTATGTAAACGCAGGTCAACTCACCTTAAAGAGCTCTCATAGGCACTCATGCTGGGATGTTTACTCATCAGGTGCATGCATCTGGATGTTGTGCTGTTGTGGCTAACCAAACTTTGCATGTTTTTGTGTGGTTTTGCTAACAGACTTGATTTCGCTCCATGTCTTCAGTTGGATGTAGCTATTTAGCTATAGTGCAGTGAGATGTGAGGGGTTTAACAGTAAAATCATTGACAATTGGGATTATTTTAATTAGGGCTGCAGTTACAATTTTTTTCATAATTGATCTATCATGTACTTATTTGTTTGTTTTCTGATCATTTGTTTGGGGAGATGATCTTTGAAACATCTTAAATAACCAAAATATTTTTGCAGAATTTCAGTCAGTTATTATTACTACAGAACTCTTAGGCTTAATTAAATAAAAGATAACTAACTGCAGCACAACAGTACTGACATTTATCAGATAATCTGTCACAGCAGGAGAATATTATCATGTGCCTATGTCAACCAAATGAGGCACCCAAACTAAATGTGCATTTTAAGACATGATTTATGTTTTGACCAGACAAATAAAAAAAGGCTAAATGAATATTCACTGTCTCACCAACTGAAACACTGTAATGCTGAATTAATTTTGCTTCATCATGTGAATCATTTTTGGTGTGTGGAACTAATTCCGGCTTGGTGTTGACTAGTTTTGTGCCTGGACTAGTTGACTAGTCCAGTGCCTGGAATCAGTGAATCAGTTCTAGTTGTGATTGATTTTGAACTGAAACCAGGATGGTGACTTAAAAGATACACTTTTCTCCCCCACTTTTGGTCGCTCCCATTCGGGGTCGCCACAACAGATCACCATCCGCATATTTTGATTCTGGCACAAGTTTTACAACTGATGCCCTTCCTGAAGCAACCCTCCCCATTTTCTGGGCTTGGGAGCAGCAATGAAAGTGCACTGGCTCATGTAGCCCACCAGTGGCTGAGGTTGGTTACCTGACCAGGAATCAAATCTGGACCCTGGCGGTGAGAGCACTGCATGCTAGCCACTAATCCACCAGGGAACTACATACAAGATATACTGTATTGCAAAAAAATTTTGTGGATTCCCTAAGAAAGTCAAAGATGATGCCATGGCCTGTATTACCATTATTGAGAAACTGAAATTATATTTAAACACTTCAGAATCCTTCAGGTTGATCTAGAGACTGTTTTCTTCATTTAAAAACCTACACTCATCTCCTACAGATGGGAAAAGAACATGAAAGACATGCTTGTCAGGAGTGAGTTAAATGATTAGCCTTAGAGTAACTACAGTATCTGCATTGCTAATTGTTGTTATAGGATCAAGGATGTGAGGAAACACAAGGAGAAGGAGCTCATTTACACTCTCTGAACTTTGGAACCTCATGTTGTGTCCCATGAATGTAATGTTTTGATAACAATTATTACATCATCAGTTTTTAATATCTACTGGTTTTACCTCCTAATGCAGCCTCAGTAGTAGCCTTTGCTTTCGTAGCTGAGCATAAAGATTTGTTCAAAATGTCCTGTCTCTCTGGAAACTTTGTGTTCTACACTTAACTATGTTCAAATAGTAGTGGGAACATATTGTGCAATACTTAGTCTACAGTGCAATTATGGTATAACTTATGTACTCAGCATATACACCGCCATAACAATAAAACCATCTGCCTAATATGTGTAGGTCCCCCTTGTGCCACCAAAACAGCTCTCAACAGACTCATCGAGGCTTGGACTCTGAAGGTGTGCTGTGGAATCTGGCACCAAGACATTAACAGCAGATCCTTTAAGTCCTGTGAGTTACGAGTTGGGGGCTACATGGATTGGACTTGTTTGTCCAGCACATTCCACAGATGCTCGATTGGATTGACGTCTGGGGAATTTGGAGGCCAAGCCAACACCTTGAACTCTCTGTCATGTTCCGGCACATATATTGCCAGGACCCAGAGTTCCCAGCAGAACATTGTCCAGAGCATCACCGGCTTATTTCTGCCGGCTTACCTTCTTCCCACAGTGGAAGCTGGTGCCATCTCTTCTCCGCATAAGCGACACACACCCGGCCATCCACATGATGTAAAAGAGAACATGATTCATCAAACTAGGCCACCTTCTTCCACTGTTCCAGTCCTGATGCTCACGTGCCCACTGTAGGTGCTTTCGGCAGTGGACAGGATTCAGCATGGGCACTCCGACCAGTCTGCGGCTATGCAGCGCCATGTGAAGCAAGCTGCGATGCACTGTGTGTTAAGACACCTTTCTATCCTAGCCAGCATTATCTTTTTCAGCAATTTGTGCTGAAACCACCTATCAGTGGTTTTAATGTTATAGCTGATCGGTGTATAGTGAATGTGGTGCAATTTAGAATTTAGTATGTCTCAATAAATTAATCCCACCTGAAGACAAGATATAGATGACAATTGTTGACATGATCCCTGTTTTGCCAAGAAACATAAAGGTGAGCTCTGTATCAGCAAAAGGAAAACATTTATGTAGAGAATAAAGAATACATAAAAAAACAAGCAAATATATACATAAGTATATTAATAGATAAACAAACAGGTAGGTAGGTAGGCTGGTACATGTAGCATTGAACAATGTGGATTTTTCTCATTTGTGCTGTTGTCTGGAATAGTTTTAGTGTCATAGAAACCTTACAAAAAAAAAACAAACAAAAAAAAAAATAAAAACAAAACACCTGACCGTAGGAGTAAATTTAGCTAGAAGCTTATAATGACATTTAAAAAAAGAAATCACTGAGCATATTCCTCACTGCAAATCAGTGGTGTTATGTGATTCTCACCAAAACTCATAACAATAGAAAGCTTGACTGAATGGAAGGGAATAAAGTTTCAACAACACACAGAATATAATAGAACAGGTCTAAGGGTGTACAGGAAGCCTTTTGATACAAACCAGTCAGCACTAATAATATGCTTGATGCATGATCATTAGGCATGAGACAGAATGTTGTTGTCTCGAATATTGTGATATTGTGATGTGGTGTATCCCAATATTTCCACTGAAGATTCATTATGTGTTCTACCTCTTCTTACACACCAGGGAGCAGCACCGATATAGTACCGAGATAGTAGCATACTGCCTTCTAAGCATGCTTATATAGTAGTCCAAAAATTTAAGCTTATCAGAAGGAAGCATTATGGCACATGTCAAACCTGCAGCATCATTTCATTGGCCCACATGAACTTTGGAAAAAATAATACCAAAATGGTCTGTAGTACACTTGCATCTAAAATGGCTCAGAAGCATGTCATATGTTGTGCTCTCAGTGGTTTAACCAGAAATAAATTTTGGTGGGATGAGGAAATATACAAAATAAAATCAATACAATGATTGTTTTTCCCCTCTAAATTGGTAAGTGTGATGCACTTATGCATTTAGGATGGATGTTAGACAACAGCGGTGAAGACACAAATTTTTTTATTTAGCCTAATCATTTAAGGCAATCAAACAGTTTTTCCATTTTAAAAACTTTGTCATGAAATACATTTATAAGATTAAAATTAAAAGATTAAAATTAAAAAGCTTTAAAAAAAATCTCAATAATAGGGAAAATTATATTTATAAATCCCGATCCACTTTGTTAACACAAAATAAATGTATTAAAATTTTGTTTTATTTCTGTCAATAAAATCTTGTGTCAACATCGTCTTGTCAAGCCTGTATAGTAATATTTCTTTTATCGTTTCTTTGCTGTATCATCTCATGTCTAATAGCATTCACCTTGTTTTTTATTATCTGGTGTGTACACGGGCTAGCATCCAAGACCAGTCACTCCCTCATACTTTACCTACACAACAGTAGTGTTTCAGATAAAATTTAAATTTCAACCAAATGCATGTTCAAGTCTCCATTGTGAGTTTCTACCTCTGCAGCCTTACATTAGCTGTAAAGCAATCTTCTAATTATAAATGCTTAAGAATGAGAAAATTGCTTGGGAGAAGACTCCTTTTATTAACACGTTACCAACATTATGAAAAATAGAAAAATGCCAGCTCTGGTGTCCTGCAAAGCAGATGTTAGTTTGGATTCACATAGCTTGTTTAATCTTTTTTGTTTGTCTAAAATTTGTATTTGAATCTGTACTGAATATAATTAATGCTGTGTGGAAGATCTGGGAAGCAGTTAGTCTATAAGGTAGCAGTGTGTCAGTTTCTGATGAAGTGCATGTGCAAATTGTATTATTATCTAATTGAAATGGCTTAAGATTTAAAGATCATTATCTGGGTTGCTGATGTACAACAGGGCATTAAACTACACTATATGGCTAAAAGTATGTGGACATCTGACAACCACACCCCCATGTGGGCCTTCCCCAAACAAAATTGAAAGCACACAATTGAATCTAGAATGTCTTTGTATGGTGTAGCTTTAAAATTGTCCACATACTGTTTATCATATAGTGTTTTTGTCAAGCTAAATGTTTCGTTTCATATCCTGACAGTTCAGGTATATGCCATTTCAGGTTCAGTTCATTAAAAATGTTTAACATTTTTCTCAATTACTGTTTGTATTACTTCTTAAATATTTGCTACAGATCACTCTGTAAGTAAGCTTTGTCACCTGAAAGTGTGGTACTAAAATCTATTCATGATTTCCTCCACCTTGATTAAAAACCCCAGTTATGGCTGTGTGCTTCACTGCGGGTATGGTGTTCTTTTAGTGATGCACCTTTTTTTGCACCAAATAAACCTTTTGGAATTATGGAATTATAGCTTTAGGAATTGGTTTCATCAGACCATAACACATTTTGCCACATGGTTTGGGGTGATTTATTTGGACTTGGATGTTTTTTTGAGAAAGGACTTCTGTCTAGCCACTCTACCCTAAAGCCCAGATATGTAAAGAATACGAGAGAATGTTGTCATATGCAGAGAAAAATACTTTTCACAGTACTTTTCAGATATATAGAGAGTGGAAGTAGTTCTGACATGATTAATCTTACTTTCATTTTTTTAATTCAGGAAAATCTGCCATTTTAACAAGAGTGTGTAGACTTTTTGTATACATTGTATGCTTGGTTTTGATTGTAGTTGTGCATGGTTTACAGCAAAAGAAATACTGGGAATATTTTAGGGTGAACACAAGTTTGAACTATAAAAATGGTGAGCTATGCACTGAAGAAGTCAAACTTGGCTTAATATCAGAACCAGGTTCTTAATGTCAGAACCAGATGAGGTTACTCTAGAACATGGTTGTACCTTTAGGCACTCTTCCAAGTGCGGTCTTTATAATTATCAATGGACATCTGTTTCCTATCATGTTCATGCAGAGAGACCTTTCCCATATGGAAGCAGCCAGACAGTACACACTTTTTAGGTTATTAAGAAGATTTATTTTTCTTCTGTGACATTTAGCTGATGAGCTGCATGATATCTATGAACATCCTATTGAAATCCACAGGGTTTCTGCTTGAAGCAGATTGTGAAATATAGCATAGATGGTTTCAAAGCCAGTACACAGAGTCTAAGACTCAGGTTGCACAGTCTAGACAAGTTGTCCTATTTCTTGCCATGGGTCACTGTACGTGCTACTGCTCTGCCTATTTTCAGAAGATTTACTGTCAGTTGAGACTATTTGCCTTCAGCTTACCTCCAGTCCCACAATAGTCAGTATCTACGAGATTGAAATGAATATATGTTTATATATTATATAAATGCATGTAATTTATTTGACATTAGGCAACGTATATTTAGAGCACTTTTTTTGAAAATAAATGAGTGCACCTCAAAAGAGTGCACAGATAACAGTCAAAGTGTGTTTAATTTACCCATGGGAAACAGATGCCTATCATTTGAGAACCTTGATACTGGCCTATTTCAGGTATTTTATTCATGTTTGAATAGACTAGAAATTTGAAAACCTGAGAATGAATCTACTTCTTGGATGGGTGACAAATTTGCATTTGTGCTCATGTGAGTGTCTGAAACTTACAAGTAAAGAAAAGTGGATTAGGTTACACTTTAGGTTATTTAGACAGTTTTCTTTTTTGTATCATGCTTATCCTTAAACTCTTTAAATT